TGAACCCACACCACCCACCACCCACGGGTATATATATCACTATGAGCGCAACCATTTAACAAATGGTTATGTTGGCTTTTTGCTATGGATAACCTAGTGGTCATAGTGCTATCTTATCACAGTAAAACTACTAAAGAAATCAGCAATTTCTCTCAACTATCTATTCAAATCATCAATTGTATCTATAGAACTGCTCAAGATCATGATTTTAATTCAGATCTTTTCTTATCTTTATATCTGTGATAAAAGATGCTCCTCACTCTGAGTCTGGATGACCCACAAAACAGCAGTCAGCTCAAGAACATATCCTCATCAAGATACACTGTGATCAATATGAAAGAGAGAAATTCTGTGCTGATATAGCAGGTGAACTCAGTCAGACTTGATAGATGAAAGCAGAAGAAATAATGAGAGGGAATTTATATGTAAAATCTAGTATAAATTTCTAGTGGCTGTTGTGGCGTTTTTAGTGCTTGAACGAAACTTTTGAAACCGACCTCCGTACATATGTACATGCATATTGAACAACAGTACGTCACATTGCCGGTACGGGACCTAGGTACTCCGAGTACTTGTATCGATGGGGAGATCATGTTTTAAAAGAGACCCATACTCAGTCCAACCAGTCAATCCAAACTCTCTATACAATTTAGATCTCTCGGTGGCATCTACGAATTTTCAACGCGCTCAGCTATGTAGGTGTCGTGACTAGCAACTAGGAAATGAGCAAGATACAAAAAAGAACAGAGGAAAAAAAGTTATAAAATGAAAATGAAGTTAAAAAAAAAAAAAAAAAAAAACGATAACTAAATATTTTTCTATCTATCTATCCCATTTATAAAAGCCATATTCATAAAAACATTGACGGGGAACGGGGAAGCCGGAAGAAGGATCCTTAACCAATCAATCATATACAAAGATATTTTGCGAGATAAAAGAGACCTGGTGGTTTATTTTCTTCAATTCCCCCACTTGCCCGCTTTCTCTGAACCCAAGCCATCCTAGCATCAAATGTGCGTTATGCATCATACGGCATGTACACGTTGGTCGCAATTATACATGTAAGAAATATCCCGAAACTTAAGAAAACCCATTCCACAAGTGGTTGATGCTGTGTGATCGTCGTCATCATAAAATCCGCTGTTGTTGAATTGTCAACTGGCTTCCTCACTAGCAACGACCATGTCGTTGATACATAACGAAATGTCAACTCCAAAAATGCGTGCCAAATCTATCGTTCTATCGTCCCGAGTCATAAGTTCCTTGCATCACGTAACAGCACGACCACTTTCATTTAACCTTGGAAGCAGAAGCTGCTGCTGCTAACGCAGCGGGTCTCATCCACGAGTGCTGTATGACTCCCTCGATGGTGAGGCGTTGATCAACGTCCCGATCGAGCATCTGGCGAATCAGATCGATACAATCTTCTGAGAAGGGCAGATATGGAACGCGCAGCGGGTGGTCGAGGATCTCGTCGATATTGTAGAAGGGATTTTCTTTGTAGACGATGGTGTAGAGGAGGATACCCAGAGCCCAGACATCTTGTTCCTTGCCACCGTAGGATTTACCTTGGAGGACTTCGGGGGCGGCATAATCTATAAACACGCAATCATGATATCAGCTTTTTTTTCCCTTCTCGGGTACCAAGAGCACTTTGATTGAGAAATTAGATCCTATAATAGAAAACACAAATTGATACGTACCTATCGTACCAACAAAGACGTCAAAAGGGCCTTTGCTGATATACGCCGCGCTCCCGAAATCAATCAACTTGATCCTTCCCTCCCCATCAAGAATGACATTTTCATCCTTGATATCACGATGCACAACATGTGCCTTCGTATGGAGGTGATGGATCGCATCGACGACCTGGTAGAAGATATTTCGGCACTCGTCCTCATCCATATTCGACCGCAGTTCAATGTAGTCAAACAAATCCATGCCCGGAAGCCCATGAGGAACCATCTCGATGTAGTAATTGACATCGTCTTCGAAGAAGCCCTTCATCTCGACGATGTTAGGGTGCCTTAGGCCGTCTGTGCGCAAGTAATCCAGCACATGAATTTCCAAGGGGACAGTTCCGAGGCGTCGGTCTCGGGTCCATGTGTCGACGAGAATCCGTTTCTTGGTTACGTATTTGAGAACTACCTTATTTTCTGGGTTCCGCTTGCTGCGCGCCAGTTTTACTTGCCCATAGGCGCCTTGACCCATTTCCTCTAGGATGACATATTCTGATATCGATTTCTTTTTTGGCATCTCTTTCCTGAGCCCTGCGTTTCTTACTTCAGGCATTGGCTGGACGGGTTTGTCTGTCAGAGGTTCCGATGCAGCTTCATTTAATTGCAACGATAGGAGGGACTGCTGGGCTTGGCTCTCAATCAATGGCGAATCAACGCGTGGAGTCTCTATTGGGGGTAAAATTGGTGAACGCTGACCCGGGGAAGGCTGTTGAGGGATAGAGGGGGATTTCGCCGAGGGTGATTGGGGAAAATTGTTCTCCTCTTGCATAATTGAGTGAAATTGCCGTGAGTATGTTATCCACAACGCATATACAACTTCAGTAACGGCAACAGGTGCTCCACGTTCATCGTCTAGCGCTGGACGTTCGTTGATGTCAGGCGTCAAGTTTCCAGGAAATATGGTTTCGCTTTTAACGACACGCATTTGAACATCCACCATAATCTCTTTTCCGTCGCGGTGACGTGATGGGAGACCATAAGGTCTGAGAAATAAAGATGCAGTATTAGCTTTCCCCTCCCGAAGGACCAACAGCGCCCTTGCTTTTCTGAAGCTATGCGCTGGTATCACCATACCATCAACCAAGGGAACATTATCTTCTTCCGTCAAAATGTTCAGGTATTCATCAAAATGTGGGATTAAATCCGTAATCATTAAACCTTTAAGATGCTCCTGGCCAAAAAGGGCAGCAGAGAATACGGAATTCGCGCTGATAACATGCAGAGTTGTTGCAGACACAACCACAATTCCAGCAACATGTGGGAAATGGGAGATACGAAGATCACGAGGAGCCGACACTTCAGTGATGGTAATCGGGATGGAGGCCTCATTTTGTATCAGCGCCGTGAAGTACTTCAACTCGACAATCTCTCGGAACACATCTTCTGCAGCATTCTTTTTCTGGCGTTGCGGGACATTTGGAATAATATCCGTGATAGGAACGCCAGCCTTGAGCATCTTTACTCCCCAAATAGGCTCAATGTCCCCATGACTCTCGACTAATCGTCCAGCATCATCAAAGCGTAAATAGGCCGTATTTTCTACAATTTCTTCCAATACCCATATCAACCCCCCACGTTTTTCGATCACCCAGACGCTTGCTGACCCTGTTAACCCATTCCTCTTCTGGATTGGTATGACATCACCGCACAGTAAAACACCACGAGATTTCTAGGAAGCGTGGTTGGGTTTCTGGGCGGATCTTGTGCCATCAGGACTGGTGTCCTTACCCCCCTCGGTTTTCTGTCTTCGAGGTTTTGTCGCGTGTGAAGGGGGCTTGCTGAGTAATTGTGCATTCACGCCGTTTCCCATACCGAGTAAGAGAGAATTGACGGTGTTCATTTTCGGTTTCTGCTGTGGATCGGGCTTGCCTGAATTATCCAGAGGAAGCTTCCGTAACTTCGACTCCAGCCACTGCGTCCTCATGTATGGGAAGAGATCTCATATACTTA